AAAGAAGCACGGAGATATGTTAGTCACGGAATTCCAATTAGGCCAGACCCCCAATTGTCAGCCTCTGGGTAACTAACCTGAGTATTTAATAGTAAAAAGGTTGTTACTATGAGTTGACTGAAGTTTTTGAGCGTGGTGAGTGTTAGGTAGTGGGTGATTAATACCAGTCCTGTAAAGAGGAGGTTTCACTCTATCAGTATGGTCTTTACTGAGAGGCTTGCTATCAACAGCGCATCCGGATCAATACAAGGTATTAATAGGCATCCAGGGTACTAAGACTCACCTGGGATTGATTTGGTTATTCCCAAAAGGGAATGGGCTAACAATACTTATTAAGCTTTAACAAAATTAGTTGAAGATTAACAGGTATTGTTGATGGGAATATTCAGCAAGGCTTTGAATACTGTGGATAAGTTGAGTAAGAGTACTGAAGCTTAAGAACAATAAATGTAGACAAGATTTATGTTGGTTACGTGTACTGTATCAATATAAATGTTAACTGGTTTAACTGGTGTCTGAATATTCTGGGGATTAATCAGTGAAAGAGGCATGGATTATAAGTTCCAGAATATTGAAGGAGGGAAAGAATGAGCTCTCAGAATCAAGGGAGCTTTGGTCAGGAGAATGAGCACATCAATTGAGTGACTGATCAGTATTTTTCATGATCTGTAAGTGACATCATAATTGTGTACTAGTTGATCAATGTACTAGTAGCTCTTGATGCGTGTACTTAACAGATCCTCTAATAATGTAGTCATAATTGTGATCAGTGCATGTATTGAATGTATTAATTCTATTAACACTTAATACTTACTATTCTATACATGTACATATTTATTTGTAATAATATTTGACCGTGAAAATACTGTAGCAGAGGGATAACTTGTGGTACAGGTATTTCACGGACAAGGGAGTGAAAGGTAAGTGATAATTACTTATGTAGAACACAGGTATGTATTTAATAGATAAGTAATTAACAGATAAGATAACTGTAAGATAAATAAGATAAGTTAATAATAAAGATAAGATAACAAGAGGTAAAGGTAATCAACATTATGGATAAGTACTTATGTACATAAGTACAGGTGTTGCAGTTACTTGGTACATGAAAGGTACTGTGACATGTACTCTGTGGCTGACAGCACTTGACAGATCCTCTAATAATGTAGTCATAATTGTGATCAGTGCATGTATTGAGTGTATTAATTGTATTGTTAATTATTAAACAGCATTCAATACTTGTACATATTTATTTGTAATGATCTTTGACCGTGAAAATACTGTAGAGAAGGGATAACTTGTGGTACAGGTATTTCACGGACAAGGGAGTGAAAGGTAAGTGATAATTACTTATGTATAAAGCAGATATGTATTTAATAGATAAGTAATTGATTGATAAAATAAATATAAGATAAGATAAGATAAGATAAAGTAAGTTAGTGATAAGATAACAAGAGGAGAAGGTAAACAACATTATGAATAAGTACTTATGTACATAAGTACAGGTGTTGCAGTTACTTGGTACATGAAAGGTACTGTGACATGTACTCTGTGGCTGACAGAGGCCTAGTTAGGCTTGCTCCAAGGTCTATCTCTTTGGTTGAGAAGTTCCACACCGTCCATCTCCAGTCAGAACCAAGCCTCCAGAAAGCCATGTTGTGAGAGGATCAGTGGGGCTGCTTGATCATTGGGCTTCAGAAGCTCCAAACAACCCCACAAGGACTCCTGTTGCAGGCTGGAATGTTTCATGTTAGCATGAATATGGAAGGAAAATCAAATGTTTCAGGAACAAGGAATATCTCAAATGTAAATCTGGGCCCACACACTGAAAAAGGGTTTGTATTGGTTACAACCCCCCCCCCCCCCTTCACAATAAGGTCACCCAGAGGTGACCAGTATAAGATCTGTCTCATTGTCCAATTTTTATCAGTTGGGCCCTCTGATACATCAGAACAAGGGAAAATGCATTGGTGGGCCTGGCCAATATAAAATTGGTCAAGGAAACCAATCTTATATTGGCCGTCTCTGGGCAACCTTATTGTGGGGGGTTGTAACCAATACAACCCCTTTTGCAGTGACATTAATCAAGAACTAAGTTTCCTCCACCAATGTAAGACTCAAAAAGTGGTTGTAAGACCCTTTTTGCTGAATGGAGAAGGGGATGATGGAGTGAAGACTCTGCCCTTCTATACTATCAGATAACAAGACCCACCAAGCTTGGCTTGGAAAGTTTTAATCAAGTGATAGGGTAAAAGTTCAGGAATGAGTTGTGTGATGAAGAGTTGTTGATTTGGTTTTGGTTGGCGCTGTAAAGTGTTTGTGTAAGGTGGTCAAATATTGCTTGAGTGTTACTTGACTGAGGATAAAACAACTGGGAGGAGAGCCTCCTTATATATACAACAGTGAGGGAATTTAGCTCCAGGGCAGCCAGTAATGAGTGATTTTGGCTGGCCTGGGCTATTACATGAGATATTTTTAGCTACATACAATTTTTGAATGAGTGAATGTGATTGGTCAGACATGTACAAGAGTTGAAGGGGTGAGCCAAACAGTTGAAAGAATGATTCTGATTGGTCAGGTTATGTGGTGTTTACAAGTGAGTGTGGTGGTGTAAGCTGCAGCTGTCATGCAAGGAAAATACACTAATTTGGGCTGCAGGTATGATGTAATATGTAGAAGTGAAATGTAAAAGAGTGTAAAGAATGTATGTGTAAATGAGTGTGCACTGTACTGAGGGTGTCTGTGTAGCTTGAGGGTTGTAATTGGGATTGGTGTAATGTATTGATGGGTGAAATCCTTGTGATATGTCGTCCATTGTGGGGTAAGAGTTGATCCAATTATGTGTTCCAGTGACGCCTCCGTGGTGACCAGGGGTGAATTTGTCCGTAGAGTCTAGTTCTTGAGCCATATGGTGTGATTTCTGAGAGATATTGAGAGATAATATGAAGAAAATATATATAAGAAAAAAAAGAAAGAAAAAACTTTGAATTTTCACATTTTTGACTACCACACCAATTGATCAAAAAACACCTTTGTGTTGGGATGAAAGCCATTTGCAACAAGAAATCAAAAATCAATTGAAAAATACACTATTGAGTGTGATTCTCAGAATCACAGAATGTGGTTTGTAGGAATCAATGAAGGCAGTGTCCAAATAATTCATGAAAAAATACTCAAAATTTCATCCTCAAGTGTGCTGATTATTGGATCTTATTAGATGTGTCACATACAGTGCAGGACTGCTGACTAATATCCGCAAACCATGCAGCATCAGGGCTACCCCCCCCAAAAAAAAAGTGATCCTGGAGCAACGGTAGGCCGCTATGCTACACTACGCTATTTGGCCACTGTCAGCCTGCTACTATTCAGAGACAACCTGACCATAGCATTTTAAATATCTAGAGACATTATTACATATACTACCCCCATAGCATATGTAATTAATGTCTATTTTATATGTACATAAGATAGAGACATTATTACATAGGTACATATAAAAAACATTAATATTTAAATAAGTGGAATCACTATAATAGAGACATTATTACTCATTACATTAAGTTTTACTAGTCATGAAAGAAAACATGAAAATAAACCAAAAACATCTATAAATAGACATTTTTAACAAGAATCTACAAATTACTTCTGAACCTTAAGTAAAAGTTAGAATATTATTTCAGATTCTTAATTTACATGCAAAATAACCTAGGGTACCTCACCAAAGGTACCCCTTAATTATCACTCCTTCAGGTACTTCTGTGTACTCTGAGTGACACTTGCCCATTTTGCTGGAAACCCTCCCAGTTACATCATTCTACATGTTGTGACAGGTCTACACATGTAAATAAGGTTCATGCAGTTCGGGAAAAATCTAAAAATAAGGTTGACATCATTGAAAACTTAACTACATGGTCACAACAACTGTAACTGGCTGGGCAAAAGCCATTTGTGGCCCTTTTTGGCCCAATTTGGCTAACTACGCCTTGTTAGGACCAGCCCACTGGTCATTAAAGGGTCTCATTGACCAAACCATGGCTGCAGGTTCGTCACAGCACCCCCTAGTGTGTGTTACAAGCCTCACTTCAGCCCTCTGACACCTGTAACCAAGGACTACAGGTGCCTAGGCAGTGCTACAGGTCACCAATGCCTAGTAGGAGGCTTGCACAAGCCAAACAGAGTTCTGAGTTCGCCTCCAAGGGCCCAGAATGAGTATATAAGGAGCCCTTCTTGCCCCCAAACTCTGATTCCCCATCTTCATTACCATTTACCAGCAATAACCACCTCCAACAACCAGTTTTCACCTGTTTTTGGCCCAGTTCCTGCTGTTTCTGTCTTGGATATCACCAACCCAACCATCAACTGTTCCCCAGAACTCTTCCAACACCTGTTAACCAGTTTTCTGAGCGCTCCCAGACCAGTTTTCACCCACCTGAAGTCCCCTTGGCTTGGAAATAGTACTAAGTAGGTAATATTTCCTTGATACTTCAGTTGTAGGCATATTGTCTGGGCATACTCCTTTCCACAAAGGACCAGATCATCAGGTACATCAAAAATACCCCTGTTTAACAGGTCCTGATACCTTGGAGGGCACCATAAAAACCCCTGTAACTCAGGCCCCTCCTTTTATAAAAACTTAAGTGTTTTTATTATTTCTTTTCTTAATATCAAACACCTCCCATTCCAAGTGTTACCCACACTTGTACACCTTTTTTCTTAGCTTTGCACCTGGTGTAGCTAGAAGAGTCAAGCTCTTGGCATCACCTAGGCTGACAATTGGGGGTCTGGCCGGGAATAACTTTTATCTTTTGATAAAAACCTGGTACCATTTTTTCTTTTAAAAATAAAAATTAAAACATACACAAAAAATCATCTTTTTTACTCTTCCCTCTTGAACTTTTTTACAAAAAATCAAACCACTTAAACATCTCACAAAAAGCTTAAAAAATTATCCTAAAAAACAAATTTCTTACTAGCTTTTTTCTTTTCTTCCTTCCTTATAGTGGAATTGCAAGAAACCTCGAGACTGATCAAATACTACCTTAATTTCCTTGCTTCTGAAAAGGCACAGCGCGCAGCGGCTTATCAACCTACTCCTTGGGAATTACTCACTCCCCAAGAACAACGCGCCAGAGCTCTAAAACGCGTAGAAATCAACAAAGAAAACAGAATTAACAACCTGTTCGCCTTCAACTCCCTCAAGCGCCAACACAAAAACCGTCGCCGCGAAATTCTTGCAGAACTTAAAGAGAAAAGACTTGCCAAAAGTACGCGCTCATAAGTTTTTTGCGCACCTCTCCATTATTTTCTTCTGGAACCATTACTAACACCGACGAATCTTTGTCCAATAGTGTCCGTTATTTCTAGTTCAAGCGCTGCTACTACCCCTGCTGCCCACACCACTGCTCATAGCCCAGTCTCAGGTAAACAAATCGCTTAAAGCTTCTTTTTTCGTTATTCTTTTTTTTGACGATCAACTAAAAACTAAGAAGGATACTATCTTTTATTTTTTTTTGGGGGACAAACGAAATATGTCTACTAGGTCCAACAACCCCAACCTGCACGGACCCCTCCCTCCAGCGACCCGACCTCGCCGTAGCAAGTCAGCTGGAGGAACGGGTGAACCGTTTGAAATTGATAACGATCCAAAAGAAATTAGCGCCAATAGCCACCAAGGCGACGGTGACATTGGATCCCAACGGCTTAGCCCCGCTAACCAACCTCGCAACGACCTTGGCGGAAAAAACCGCGGTCCCAGCGATGACTTCGGCGACCATAGCCCAAGATCGCATGGACTTGGATGACGCGGCGCAAAAAACGCCAGTCCAGAACACGAACCCAGCGACCATAGCTTCGGAAGCGATGGACGTGGATCCTATAGCCTCAACATTTTCGGTGGATATCCAGCTACTCCGCAAGTTGCCGGAGAAGCAGGTTCTATCCAAAGAAGAGAGGATCAAACTCCTAGTGAAAGAGCATATACACCTCTGGAAGAGGTGCACAGTAGCCCAACAGTCCGGCGCGATGGAAGATCTCAAAATACTTCTCCATCAAGCGCAGGACAGTCAAAAAGTTCTCCAGAAACTAATTCCCCGCAAGGAGTTAGAAGAGTTCGTCAAGGGCTGGAACCCTTGGACGATCAAGAAGGAGTTGTTTCCCACCGCGCCGAAGAAAAACGACGGCAAGAAGCGCTCCTCCTCCTCCAAAGGAGCGAAGGAACTTTACAACGACCCAAACCGTTGGAAAATGGTCATGAGGGGCTGCAACACCCTTGAGGCAGCTTACCGCCACATGGCGGACTAGATCTTAAGATCCTCACCGCTATTTTAGATAGCCTAGAGTTAGTTAGCAAAAATCTTTCGGCTATCGATAGTAATGCCGAAGAGAATTTTAAAACCATTGTACATAGTCTAGACCTTGTTTCACGCAATAACAAAAAGAATGCGACTTCGTTATCTGTGCAATTTGACAACATGATAAGAAACCCCCTGTCTATTAATCCTGAGATGACAAAAATCATCGCTGAGAATACGGCTAAAAGCGAGAAAGCCTGTTCTAAATTAACTGGATCCGTTGACAAACTTGATAAAGACTTAAGTACAACTGCCGACTACATTCTATCCAATATAAGAGAGGATAGCGTTATCGAGAATGCCAAGAATAAAGATGAGTTAAATACTGTTAAAGACCTATTGATTCAACAAAACATTAGGACAGAGGGTCTAAGCAGTCTCTTAAAAGAAGAAATCTCTTCGCTTAGAACTAACATGAAATCCGAAATACAATCCATTGTGCAGGCTTCTTTAGCGCAGTATGTTTTTCAAAATAGAACCGCGCCATTTGTAGATCCACAAACACAAGCACGGTTTAATAACCCTTACATGGAGGAGGTGCCAAGAGATGCCGCGCCACATCTTAACAGGTCTCAAGCTAACGCTGTGCCGCAGCAACACAGGAATTCTCCGCCACATTTGAGTAATCATCTTACCCATTCTGCGTCACAATCTCAACATGTTCCCCAAAGAACTCCATCTAAATATGGTAATATGGATTTGGCCACTTTGAATAAACTAGTACCCCCTGTTCTTGACTGGCCTAAATTTGCAGGATCAGATGATTATGATCATATAAGTTTCATTAAATATATAGATCATATGATACTGTCTTACAGTGCAGATGATGAGTTTGTACTTAGTAGACTTCCAAGGTTATTCACAGGAGTGGCCCTTGAATGGTTCATAGAAAAACAAGAATCTGTGGGAAAACAATCCTGGGACACTTGGAAAAAATTAATCAAAGCCCATTTTGGTACTAGATTATGGGAACAGAAAATCAGAAGAGCTTTTGAGGCGGATTACTTTGACCCCACAAAAGATAAACCCCACCAATGGTGTCTTAAGCAGAAGAAGAGGATTGATTGCATGAATAAAAATCCTACACAATTAGACATTAATGACAAATTATTGGACCAATGTAGAGGACACCTTGAGCACCAAATGAGATGCAGACTCCCAAATATGGACACTGATTTATCCACATTTATCAGTGTCATGGAAGAAGTCATTGAAATGACTGGTGCCAACAAAAGACACAGGGAAAATTACTCAGACAGAAAGGAAGGAACTTCAAAAAATCCTGCTCCTAGAGAAAAAGAAAGCAAACTTGCTGAAATTACCCCTAAAAAAGCTGTCATACCAGAATGCTACAATTGCGGGGAGAAGGGACACAAGAGACCTGATTGCCCCAATCCCAGAAAAAGGATAAATAATGTCAATATTGAACCTGACAGTGAGGAAGAAACCTCTTCAAGGTTTGAAATGGTGCAAGTGGAACCTGAAGACTCAGATTTCCACCAAAATCATCACCACTCTGAGGAATCAGAGTACAGATTCCAAGTTATATCAGCAGATATTGGAGATGAGTTTGAGATTAATGCCATCCACGGTGAGTCAAATTTGCCTCAGAAATGGGATTCTACAATGGAAGTTGGCCACATTTCTGATGCCAAACTTTTGTCCAACAAACCTGAGACAGGTATGAGCTACACAATGGGAAAAACCAGTTACACTACTGTTATGTTCCAAGGTAAAGAATGGAAGGCTTTGCTTGACATTGGAGCCTTCTGCTCTTGCACTAGTAGTGATTTCCTGGATGCTTGTTACCCTGAATGGAAAAATTATTTGTTACCTGTGCCTAAAGCAAAATTTAGCAGTTGTAACTCTGCCATGAAACCCCTTGGTGTAATTAGCATGCCTTTAATATTTCCTCACTCCAAAGGATCATTAAGACTTAATGTTGAATTTGTTGTTTTACAAGATGCTTTGTGCGAATATTTTATTTTGGGAAATGATACCTTCTGCTTATATGGCATAGACATTTTTCAAAGTAAGAATAGATACTACACTATTGGTGGAGACTGGAAAAGGAAATTCCAAATTTGTAATGTGTTGAGTTTCACACATGTCATGTATTTTTCTCTTCAGTCTGTGCTTTTCACCTTTCACTCACATGTCACTCCTCTAGTTATGTCTGGGTCTGATGGTGTGTAAGGATTCTTCCCTCATCCTTTCACAACCATCACACCCAGTCTCCGTTCATTGCATCAGGTTATGAGCACCAGTTAGCCTTCAGCTAACCTCTTCAATCTAAATCGATCTCTTGGATCTCTCTTCGCGATACGGAATTCTCTCGCTGGGTTGGTTCTAAATGGCTTCTGACAATAAGTCCTCCTCCGCTGCTACTGGCGGAAATGTCACTCTCAACGTTGCACACGAATCCTCGGGCCGTCCCTCCTCGGCTCGTCTCCCTCTTCTTACGGCCCCCGGGGCCGACTCTAACTACCTTGATTGGGAGCTGGTCGTCTCTACTTACTTCGAGGCTCTCGGTGTGAGCTACGTTCTCAAGGAGGTCGCCGTGGATAACAGGGATGCGACGTGGGCCAAGGACAACATCGCCGTCTGCTCGGTCCTTCTTCAAGTCGCCGGCGAATCCAATGTCCGCTTTCTCCGCGAGTTCCGAGGTGATGCCCACAAGATGTGGACCGCTCTCGAGAAGAATCATCAAGACTCTTCCAGCGGAGGCCGTATGTACTGGATTCGTAAATTAGTACGATCCGAGATGGCCGATTCCGACATCGATTCTCACATCGACAGGATGGCTACTTATGCTGCGAAGCTCAATTCGCTGATCACTCCCTCTAACCCCCTCACGGCCGACGATGTACACGCCGCTGCCTTACTCATCTCAATCCCCGACGACTGGATGCATTGCGTCTCTGGCCTTGTTAACGAGGAGAACGTTCCCTCAGCTCGGATCGTCACGGCGTTGAAACAGGAATCCCTTCGGCGTCGTTCCAGAATGGACGAAAACATTCCGTCCGTCTCCTTCGCAAAAACCAAGGGCTCGAAGTCCTCTTTGTCTTCGGATCGCCCTCGTGCTCCCAAGAACGACAATGACGATTCCAAGCCCCGCTGTCCTCTCTGCAACGTTGATGGTCATGACCTCAACAATTGCAACAACACTCGCCGACTTATTCGCGAGCACAAGGCATCTCAAAAACCGCGTCCCACTTCACGCAACCAGGACGATTCTTCCGCTCAAAGTCGCCCCTCCGCCAAAACTTCTGCCAGAGCCGGACGCACCTCTGCTGCGACTATCAGCTTCACCGGAGTCACTGGCGATGATGAGTCTGACTATTCCGGCTCAGAGTTCGAGGTCACGGCACGAAACGCGGTCACAACTCTCCCTTTGTGCTTAGCGTCCGTGGCCTCCGCCGATGCCAACCTCGACTCGGGGTGTTCTATCTCTATGACCCCGTCTCCAGCAGATATTACGGCATTATCCGAGGATCACACCCCAGTCCGCCTGGCCGACAACTCTCTTGTTAAGGCCACTCACAAAGGGATGTCAAAACTTCCTATCAACACTGACGTCAACATCAAGACCTTGGTAGTCCCGGCTCTTCTCGAACCTCTTCTCTCCATTGCTGGTCTCTGCGATGCTGGTTTAGTTGCCGTCTTCACCAAAGACTCGTGCAACCTTTACTCATCCGATGATGTCAATGTTGAAGGCACCATTGCAGGCCGTGGATATCGCCGAGGCAACCTCTATTATCTTCCGTCTGAGCCGGTGAGCTCCGTTTCATCTGTATCGTCACTCTCAACCTCCTCCAATTCCCTTCTGGCTTTTCACATTCGCTTCTCTCACCTAGGCCTTAAGCCATTAAAACAAATACTCAAACTTAACAACATTTCTGTGTCAGTTATGAACGAGGAGGACGTCCAACGTTGCCCAATTTGTGTGCAAGCAAAGCTACCTCGCAAGGTCTTGAAATCCCGACTCTCACATCGGTCTTCTGTCCCCGGTCAACTCATTCACTCGGACGTAGGTTCCTTTGAGGTCAAATCCAGAGAGGGATACTCCTATTTTATTACTTTCATCGATGATTGTTCTAAATTTCTTTACGTCTATCCTATGAAATTCAAAAGTGATTCTTTCGAATGTTTCAAAATTTTTCGTGCGGAATTTGAGAGGACTGGAGTTCATAAAGTGGTTGCGCTGCGTTCCGATAATGGAGGCGAATACCTATCAAATAAATTTGAATCTTATTTATCTTCTGCTGGCATCAAACATGACCCTGGGCCGCCTCACTCCCCAGAACTCAATGGTGTTGCTGAACGTACCAACCGCACAATTGGGAACTTGGTGGGATGTGCTCTCATCAATTCCCGTCTCCCCAAATCCTTCTGGGCAGATGCTCTCTGTCATGCCCTCCACTCCTACAACTCTTTCCCGTGCTACACCCCGATGGGATTTAAGACCCCCTCCTCAATCATGAATGTCCCTCCAGTCAATCTTAACTCACTTCATCCATTTGGCTGTTTAGTCTGGTACCAAGTTCCCAAAGCAAACAGGAAGAAACTTGATCTTCGTGGACGTTCTTCGTTACTTCTATCCTATCTACCCCACGGCCTTGGATTCCGCGTCTGGGACTTGGAAAAGCGCACGGTCTTGAAAACTCGTGATGTACGTTTTGATGATCTGGTATTCCCTTATGGCACTTCTCTTTCAGTATCTCCTCCCTCTTCAGTTGAGGTTGAATTGGAATGGTCTGCCATAATCTGTCGTCCCGGTCTCACGTCTCCGGTTTTCCCGGATGTCTCTTCCTCTTCGCCTCCCACTCTCCCTCCTTCCACAAGCTGTGATCCCATGTCCAACGAACTTCCTCCTCCCCTTGACATTCCTCTTAAAGACCGCTTTGATCGTCGCCTTACTGCTTCTATCCACGCTCCGGGTAATGCTCC